ACCGACGCCCACAACTCTTGACCAACACCACCTTGAAGCTACGCAGGGCAGGGAATGACGGGGTTGAGCGAAGCCAGAGTTCCAAGCGGCTAACGTTCCCTGCGCTGGCGCCTGAGCTGTGTTCGGGTCTGGTGGCCACACTTCTCTTGGCATGGCCTCGTATGGTTGTTCACCCACGAGGATTACTGGTTTTGGCGTGTTCGGCCACCCTTCTGAGGACGCAGGCGTCCACTGGGAGTTTCCCCACTGGCGGGAAAGCGCCTCCTGAACAGGGTGAGTTCTGCGTACGTAGCCCTGGCATCCCGCAGCGGCCGGCACTCACGGGCAATTCTGCACATGAATTACGTTCCTGTAACTGCCCCTGCAGGTTTTCCCTTCTTTTTTAATTAAAGGAGAAATTTTTCAAAAGCCTCAGGTATTATTTCTAGCGCCAAAATAATCTATTTGACAGAGATGCTCTGCGTACCAAAGCGGCATCTTTAGTTCTACAGCCTGGATGGGATTCTCTCAAATAAAATGAATACCACAAACCCAGTTTGAGCCCCTGCCCTTAGACTGGGACTCGTGCATACAGACCTCGAGGTAGTATTTTGGGCACGGCGCGTTTGTGGTGCCCAGCTCAGAAAGTGTTCAATGAACCGACGGCACTGAACTCAGTTACTATGTGCTAAGCAACATACTAATCGCTTTGAAATTATATTAACTCTAATTTCACAAAACCCTCTGATAGGGACTACTACCCTTATTTTATATGAGTAAATACAGGACGATAAAGTTATCAAATACATCTAACACCCCTTTTTACAGATGGTAGTACAGTCTACATTTTTCAGCACCTTGCTTTTCTCACCTCACAATACATCTTGTAAAGGATTCCCTTTTTACAGCTAAAGAGCATTCCACTGTGTGAATGTTCATGTAATGATTTCACTATTCCTTTACTGATGGGCCGTTAGAAAAGTTCATCTAAACGATACGACAGTGACCAGACGGCAGTTTCTCAAATGCGTGTGGAACTGCCAACTATAGTGGGGAGGACTGGCAAGGTCTCCGACAAACTCTTGAGTTCCCAAACAACAAAGTCCTCGGCCTAGAAGGGCCGGAAGTACTTGAGGACGCTCACCGGGACCCGCCTCCGCTTCCGGCATCGGCCTTGGGGAGTCCTGGTGCAGTCCTCAGTGCTCGGTTAGTAGGATGGCGCCGGGCCGACGCGGTCACAGCACCGAGAGCGGACGGCCGCTAAGCGCTTCCATCGTCCCCCGAAGTTTATCCCCAGTGGCGGGGGATGGGGGAGGCCGGTTCTTCCGGGTCGTCCGCGTTCCCTCTTTCGTATTACAGAGACGTGGGCCTCCTTCGTTCTAGCCCTCCCGCCCTGTTCCTATGTGCCTGCTAGAGCGTCTCCTCGCCGTTTCCTGTCGCCCAGGGGCCCGGGAGGAAAGAAGGGGGCGTAGCGCTACGGCGGAGGGACCTCGCGAGCTTAGCTGAGTCGCAGATACCGGAAGTGTTGGGAGGAAGGCCGGAAGTGAGGGGGCGGAGCCAGGAAGTGAGGAGGGGCGGGGGTTTATGAGGAGGCCAAGGGAGCGTTGGGACAGATTTGCACTCAGGGCCACCTGAGGGACTTGGCTGTAGCGCCCAGCTTTGTCCCCTCCCCTCGAAGAGATACGGTTGTCGTCTAGGAGTAGGGAACTCTTTGGAGGGGTGGGTTGTCGGGAGGACCTTCCTCTGTGCGCTTGAGGCAAGGTGTGGAGAGGCGGGGTGGGGGTGGGGCCGGGTCGTCAGGGCGACTGAGAGGGAAGACCCCCGCCCCCCGCCCCCCCACCGCCCATCTACACTGGCTGACTGGACACTAAGATGGCTGCCGTTGCCATGGCACCCAACCCTGTGCAGACCCTTCAGGAGGAGGCGGTGTGCGCCATCTGCCTCGATTACTTCACGGATCCCGTGTCCATCGGCTGCGGACACAACTTCTGCCGAGTGTGTGTAACCCAGTTGTGGGGAGGGGAGGATGAGGAGGACAGAGACGAGTTGGACCGGGAGGAGGAAGAGGAGGACGGAGAGGAGGAGGAAGTGGAGGCTGTGGGAGCCGGTGGGGGGTGGGACACCCCCATGCGGGATGAAGACTATGAGGGCGACATGGAGGAGGAGGTCGAGGAGGAAGAGGAGGGTGTGTTCTGGACCAGTGGCATGGGAGGGTCCAACTGGGACAACATGGACTACGTGTGGGAGGAGGAGGACGAGGAGGAAGATTTGAACTACTACTTGGGGGACATGGAGGAGGACCTGAGAGGGGAGGATGAGGAGGACGAGGAGGAAGTGCTGGAGGAGGACGAGGAAGAGGAGCTAGACCCCGTCACCCCACTGCCCCCGCCTCCAGCCCCTCGGAGGTGCTTCACCTGCCCTCAGTGCCGAAAGAGCTTTCCCAGGCGGAGCTTTCGCCCCAACCTGCAGCTGGCCAACATGGTCCAGGTGATTCGGCAGATGCACCCAACTCCTGGTCGAGGGAGCCGTGGGAGCGAGCAGGGCATTTGTCCCAAACACCAGGAAGCCCTGAAGCTCTTCTGCGAGGTGGATGAAGAGGCCATCTGTGTGGTGTGCCGAGAATCCAGGAGCCACAAACAGCACAGCGTGGTGCCATTGGAGGAGGTGGTGCAGGAGTATAAGGTGAGAGAAGCAGAAGAGGGGAGTTTAGTGGGGGTGGAGAGGAAGTAAGAGGAGCTGGGAAAAGGAAACATGTCCCCTCCCAACCCCAGAACTTCATGCACTGGTGAGCTGATTTTCCTTTACTTAGCACTTACTGGCATCAAGGTGGGTTAGACTGAGAAGGGTCCTGTACAGACAAAGCAGACCAGTGAAGAAGACCAGGAAGATTGGCTTCCTCAAAAGAAATTGGGCAAAGCCCATATGATACTATATCATTGGGTTGCATCTCTTAGGGAAAGTACTGCTGTTTCACACTTCCACTGTCTCTGAGTGTAGGAGTGCAGGTGACAGTCCCCTCAGGCTTTACCACCAGTCTCATTTTCCTCTGGGTGAGTCTTCAGTCTATCCTTGACTTAGACCCCTAGAGTTGGGAAGGACTTGGGGCCTCAAAGAACAAGAAAGTGCCTTAAGGAGCAGGAATATAGAAATGACTACTAGTGTCAGACCCAGATACTCTGCACTTGCCTTTTAATGGGTTTCTCACCTACCCCATGATATGGCTTGTTTCTCCTCACGGACTTTTGTTAGATCTGCATCAGTCTAATGTACTGACTAGAACTTACCTTTCCTGAGAATGCAGAAAAAAGGGAGAGGCTTCTAAATCAGAAGACCGGGCTCTGCACTTGTGAATATTCACTCAGGCATCTCTAAAAGTCTTGGAACTTTAATTTCTCCAGGATTAAAAGTTAATATTTACTGAACACTTTACTTACTATGTACACCAGGCACTGTACTAAGCACTTTTCATGGACTCATTTAAAACTCAAAACAATCTTGTAAGTTTGATATGGTTTCTATCCCTGTTTTACAGATTAGGAAACAGATTTAAGTAATATAAACAGGACCACACAGCTACTAGTAAGTGATGGACTTGGTTATGACCCCCCTCCCCTGCCACCCCTGCACACTGTTAACAGTGTCACCACCATTTAGATGTCTTGTTAATTTGACTTTCCTGACATGTGACTTCTTGGAGTCTGATACTAGTTTGGATAATACTTTTGCACCCTACTTCTGGCCTCACTCTTTTGGGATATAAGTAACATTTGTCTGTGAGACAGCCAGCACAAATAGCATTCCTGGGATGGGTTTGAAATAGTGGGACCAGGAGGAAGAGAGGGTAGCTCCTACGTGGTCTGTGCGGAACTTCTTTGTGTTATGACCTGTGTTTTCATACATTGTCACACAGTAACCTCATTTAGGTAATCTTATCATTACCCTAATTTTAGAGTAACGAGTCTAGAGCTTCTCAGCTATGAGCAGTACAGCTAGGACAAACTTACACCCTCTCATGACAAGTAACTGTTTCTTCCACACAGTGATTGTCCCAATTACTAGGGGAGTTTTCAAAAGTACAGTGGGCCCTACCACTTGAGATTTCTGAGTCAGAAACAGGGAGAATATAAAAGTATCTTTAGGAAAGCCCAGCGTAGCGTGGGGATCACTGCATTGGTAACATCACCTGTTTTTTAGGCCCTGCGTTGTTAGGGGAGGCTGTGATCTCATTTTATCCTTTTTTTTACCTCCTTTTGGCTCCTAGTTAACTGTACCCACCAATGGGCAGTCAGTTTGTTAATTGAATCTTGGGGTGGACTGTTCATGGGCATTCCATCCCTTCTCCACCCTCCTCCTACAGGACTCTTCTGAAGAGCTTCTGAAACTGGATTTTAATTTGTGTTAGCCACATCTGTTGTAATGCAGCCCAGTAGGGCTCTGAAGTTTGAGGAGGTCACATAGATGCAAATAATCTGGCATTAATTGATCAGCAAATGTAAATACATAAGTTTTATTATATAAAACTAATTTGAGTGATTCCTTTTCTAACTTACAGGCTATTTTATGGGCAGGTAGTTTATCCCTTTCAAATGTGTACACTAAGTAGCACTAGCTTGGAACAGTGTTTTTTAGAAATATTTCTTTATTGAATAGGTAATAATACAAATGATGTATAAATAAAACTCCTAAAAAGTTGGAAGTCCTTGATAATTTCTCTTAAATAGTACTCTGTTTGGATTTGTGCTCATGAATTTTATGTTGGTTATTTAGGAAAAATATTAAATGGGAAATTTAAGCATCATAAATTCTGAGTAGAGTTGGAGAAAAGAAGAAGGTAATATCAAAAGACAAAATTTTTTTGTAGTTTATGCTACTTTCATGTAAGGGATTGCCTGTAATATTTTTAATGTAATTTTTTCAACAACCACTTATCCTGTGCAACAACTGCCTTTTGTACTCTGGGTCAGTAACCTCTTTAGTTCAAGGGTCATTATCAGGTTGTCATTGGCAGCTTAGACATAGGCAGAGAATACTAGATAACATTTATTATTCCCTCATCTCTCCCAGATCATGCCAGACACTGTGTGAAGCATACTGTCCATAAGGTAGATTCTGTTATTCCCAATTCCTGTGTAAGGTGAGGAAACTGGAAATGTGGCTCGCATCAGGTCATCTGGTTCCATTCAGGTTTAGATTGGAGTCTAGGCTTGAGCTCTTCTGCCCTGTACTATCTCTCAAGGAAAAGGAAGGAGAAAGGCAGAAGTAGTAGGAGACATTAAAAAGGAAAAAAAACAAGTTGGGACCATCTTTGGTCTCTAACAGCCTTTTAAAGAAAAAGATTCTGTTACAAGTGATTGGAACATAGAGCTCAAATGCATATTGGCTGTGAAGGTTAAAACCTTAGGAGGAGAGGGTTTTTGTTTTCCATTTAGTAAGTGAGTGGGAGAGAAATGGACAGAGAGGCATAGAAATTAAGGGGGGGCCCCTGCCCCCAGGAGCCCCTGTGTCATGGGGGAGGCATACTTAAAAATCAGTGCCTCAGAAGTATTGTAAAGGTTGTATTCGTGTTCCTTGGGGTGACAGAGGAAGTTGGAGGCAGGGAGGATCTGGACCATGGTCAGATAGCTGGGTTTTAAAGGAAGCATGCCTTGGGCCAAATGGAGAAAGGCAATCCCAGGCAGAGGGAACAGCATGGATAAAGATGTGGAATTACATTCAGGAAAAGACAGGTAGTTTTATGTCGCTAAAACTAAGTCTATATTAGAAGGGTAAGTGTAGGAGAGGAGGCTAGAAATGTAGAAGCAATGAGAGCCTCATATTTTGCAGGTGGTGGAGAACCACTGAAGGATCTTTAGCTTAGGCACAAAGTTGTCAGAGAAGTGTTTAGAGATGAAAGTTACAAGGAAGATTGCAAGGGACCATAGGCAGGAACATTCATATGGAAGGACTTTGTGTGGTGAGGGCTTCGGGCCAGGTCCACTCCAACTCCGAGTATGGGGCTCTGTAGTCCTCAGGATTCTACTTTTAGAGAACACACCCAGGGCTTCTGTACATGAGTGCAGGCAGAATGTTGGAGGCCTTTGTCATCATCTGAAGAGAAGAAAGGGGAGGAAGGGAGTATGATGCTTATTTGGTACCTGTGGTGGGGATCAGGCTTTGGGCCCCAGTGCACTGCAGGGAAGTTGAGGGAGGTGGGCACTGAAAGCAGGTGCCTCTCCCATCCCAGGCCTCTAACCTTCCTTTCCCATTCCCTCAGGCCAAGCTGCAGGGGCATGTGGAACCACTGAGGAAGCACCTAGAGGCTGTGCAGAAGATGAAGGCCAAGGAGGAAAGGCGGGTGACGGAGCTGAAGGTGGGTGAATGTCTTTAATGGGGTTGACTGGCTCTGTGATCAGGCAGGGAAGATGGGCTGCCCACTCTCAAAAGTGGTGGCTAGATTCCCTGAAGAGGGGCAGCTGAGACCTGGGAGAGTAGACACATTCTCAGGATCCTGAAGAAAGTGGCTTTAGACGGTAGAGGGCGTGTTCATTCCTAGGTTCCAAAATGGAGTGGAAGCAGGCCTGGGGCAGAGAGTCCCTGGCCCAGGGCTGCAAAGCAGGCTTACCACCCAGACACCTCACTCCAGGCCCAGTGCCCACCATACCAGATAGCACAGAGGGCAGAAGTGGGCAAGGAAAATCCACATAACAGCCATCAGAGGAGCCCCAGTTCCCAGGACAGATGGCAGGGCAGCCCTGAGCAGGAGAGGGGGGCCAGAGTGTTTAACGGAGGCTAGGAATTTGTGAATGTTAGCATGGCAGAGACTTAATCTTTTCTAGTCCAGTGTTTCTCAGCTGTTTTTCATGATTGATCACCCCTCCCCAAGGAGTATTTTTAGATATTTTTTCCCATAATATCAACCCCCCACCCCCAACTCTGTACCTGTTTTTGTAAGGTCAGCAGGCACTGAGAATGGCCTGGCACTGAGCTTTGGAGACCAAGCCAGGACATCCTTCTTGTCTGACCTCTTCCCTCATCTCTCCCACTGGCCATTTGAGGGGTCTTGCCACTTCCCAGGGCTTGTGCTTATTCTTCGCCACCTACACATTAGGAACTCTGCTGCTGGCTACTGCCAGGCACTAAGTGGTGGAATCTGAGTCTGGGAGCCATGGAGTCCTCTTGCCTCTAGCCAGATGCTCTGGGGTCCTCGGTTACAGAGAGAGGATGTCAGATCTGAGTGTCTGTGGGACAGAGAATGAAACTGACTTCCTTCACTCACTTGGTCAGTCAGAACTTCCTTTCCCTCTCTGCTCTGTTATTCTTTGTCCCAAGAATGTCTCTAGTTGATGGGTGGAAAGCATGCCCACTCTCTGGGATTCCCTAGCCCAGGCAAATGGGGTGAGAGTGGGCAGAAGTTTTCTGTCATTATATGTAGAAGTACCTACACAATGATGCCCATGATTTTGCCTCTTGGCTCTTAAAGTGTAAAATATTATTTGGCTGTTTACAGGAAGTTTGCTAGATTCCTGATCTAGAAGGATTGGGTGACTTTCTAAGGTCTTTAGTGGTATAGTCAAGACCCTAACTTCATATCCTGGTTCCTGAATTTTTAATTTATTCATTTCAAAAAATTCTAAGTACCTACTCTGTGGTTGGTGCTCTTCCAGGGTCTGAGGACCCTGTGGCAAACAGAGATTATGCAGTGGTGGAAAGGGATGTTAAAAGATACTTCAGTGTAAACATAACCTAAGATTAATGCCATGATATACAGTGATATTTGTGGTCCTGATTTAGATCTGGAGGGAATTATTTTTAAGCTTAGACCTGAAGAATGAATCAAGTTAGTTAGCCAGGGTGGAGATAAAGGTACAGGCAGAAGGTGTTGAGTTTGAGACCACTGTGCTGGGGGTGTGGGAGTGGGGCCTGGTAAGGCTGGGAGGTGGGGAAGGGGACAGGGGCCTCTTTCCATTTGGGATGTAGGGCTCCATTACCTTGGATTGAGGGGCAGCAGTTGCAAAATTGGAAGTTTATGTTTCTGTGTGTTGAGGTGGTATCCACCATCCCCTTTGCATCATCCCAGAGCCAGATGAAGTCAGAGCTGGCAGCTGTGGCCTCGGAGTTCGGGCGGCTGACACGGTTTCTGGCTGAAGAGCAGGCAGGGTTGGAGCGGCGCCTCCGAGAGATGCACGAAGCCCAGCTAGGGCGTGCAGCAGCAGCGGCTAGCCGCCTGGCGGAGCAGGCTGCCCAGCTGAGCCGCCTGCTGGCCGAGGCCCAGGAGCGGAGCCAGCAGGGGGGCCTGCGGCTGCTCCAGGTGAGCAGTGCCCCCTTCCTTATCTCCCTGTCTCCCCAAAACCCTGTACTTGCTCTGTCAGGCAATGCTTACCAAACATCTGTTCAGAGCTGCCTCTCTTCTCATTGAGAGGAACCCACAAAGATTGAACCTAAGACCAAAAGGGTTTTTGAGGCTGGGGACAGAGTTAATGCCAAACGTGGTGTAACGTGTGATTATACCCATGAAAAGAAAGAAGATTCAGTTGTAGAATGAGGGTTTCAAAGGAGAGTTGAGGAAAGAATTTTTGACAGAGATATCCTGAAAAAGATGACCAAGTCGTGTGAAAATTCTTTTACTGGGGTTGAAAATTCTGTTACTGGTCTTGCAGCAGGATGAGATTAATTAGGTGTGCTGAGGCATAGGGATGATTGAGATAGATACACGCTTATTGAGGGCCTTGAGAGTGCTCTTTCTTACTCCCTGTTCAAGTTCAGTCCTTTCTCTGGCTGGAATCAGATTGGGAGAAAGGAGCTGTCTCTGTGCAGCTGACTCTCTCTTTGTCTCTTTTTCCCTCTCCCTCTTTTTGTTTCTGTTATTCCCAGGACATCAAGGAGACTTTCAATAGGTGTGTTGCCACCCTTTTCCTCTGTGACCCAGTGGCATCTGGTTCCCCATCCCTACCTCTCTTGGATATCCCGCTCCTTTCCTTCCTTCCCCAGGACCCGAGTTTCTGCCTCCTGGACCCTCCTCTCCTTCCCCTCAGCTTTTGCTCTTCCCTCTGGGAATATCATGGTCCCACCCCCTGCCCGGTCCCCTTCCTCCAGGTGTGAAGAGGTACAGCTGCAGCCCCCAGAGGTCTGGTCCCCTGACCCGTGTCAACCCCATAGCCATGACTTCTTGACAGATGCCATCGTGAGGAAAATGAGCCGGATGTTCTGTCAGGCTGCCCGAGGTAGGGAGGTCACCTGTACGACCTTCCTTTGCCTTTCCCTTTACAGACCTGAGATTGGGTTCTGAGGGGGAAGGTGGGTCCCAGGGGGGACGATTGGGGCTGAGGTGGAGCAGGATACAGGGTAGGCTGCTTGGGGCTTCAAGCCAAGAGTAGCCTTTGTCCTAGTCCAGGTAGGTGTTGGTGGTCGGGGAGGGAGGTGGGTAGCAAGAAGAGCCAGGGCCGGTGTTAGACCTGTCCAGTGTCCTGGAAACAAGAATGGGGAAAGAAGTGGAGCCCATAGGAACTCAAGTCTGGCCTCTAGGATGGGGTGGGGTGAGGACACCTGGAAGGCTGGGAGGGAGGGAGACAAAGGGGAGGGCAGCAGGAAAGGCCAAATCTTAGAGTTGGCTACTGATGGGGAACAAGTTGTTCCAGCCCTGGCATATTTGTCCTCCCCCCTCCCAAGTGGACCTGACGCTGGACCCTGACACGGCTCACCCGGCTCTGATGCTGTCCCCTGACCGCCGTGGGGTCCGCCTGGCAGAGCGGCGGCAGGAGGTTGCTGACCATTCCAAACGCTTCTCAGCCGACTGCTGCGTCTTGGGGGCCCAGGGCTTCCGCTCTGGCCGGCACTACTGGGAGGTAGAGGTGGGCGGGCGGCGGGGTTGGGCAGTGGGCGCTGCCCGTGAGTCGACCCATCATAAGGAGAAGGTGGGCTCTGGGGGGTCCTCTGTGGGCAGTGGGGATGCCAGCTCCTCGCGCCATCATCATCGCCGCCGCCGGCTCCACCTACCCCAACAGCCCCTGCTCCAGCGGGAAGTGTGGTGTGTGGGCACCAACGGCAAACGTTACCAGGCACAGAGCTCAACGGAGCAGACACTGCTGAGCCCAAGTGAGAAACCACGGCGCTTTGGCGTGTACCTGGACTATGAGGCTGGGCGCCTGGGCTTCTACAATGCGGAGACTCTAGCCCATGTGCATACCTTCTCAGCTGCTTTCCTGGGCGAGCGTGTCTTCCCTTTCTTCCGGGTGCTCTCCAAGGGCACCCGTATCAAGCTCTGCCCTTGATTAGCCTGCCACCCGCAGGGGCCCCTCTGTTTAGCACTTGGGGGGCGGGTGGTGGTGGAGGGTGGCCCGTAAGTTTGGGGGCTCAAAGGCTCCTCCCACTGTTTGTTGCTTCCTGCTCCCCTTTGACCCAGGCCCCCCTTCTCCCTCTAGGAGCCTAAAGAACCCTCCTGGCCTGCAGCTCGGCCTTCGCTCACCTGCAATGTCTGTCCAATAGGTCTGCATGGGTCCCTGATGAGAACAGCTGCCTGGTTTTCCTTCCCTCTGTCCACCCAGGGGTCTGAGTTTGAGTAGGGGATGAGGGGAGATTTAACTCCATTACTTCCCTTTCCCTGCCCCTGCTCTTCAACCCTGTCAGTTCTCAGGCTGGGGTACTTGGGCAAGACTCATGTCTGCCCCCATTCCAATTCCATTTTCTGATGCAAATTTTAGCTAAGGGATTTGGAAGCTTTTTTTGGGGAGGCAGGTTGGGCAAAAGCTGGGTAATAAGTGTCTACTCTCCAGGGGAAGTAGGAGGGATTCTAAACTCCTTCCATCCCCAATTTCTACCTCCATAGACTGGCCAGAATTTAGCTTGAGAGCTCTGGAATGGTTGCCATGATTTAAACTACATACCATTATATATCACCCAATAAATTATTTTCTCCCCCTTCCTTTTTTCCAGCACTCAAACTAGGAGTAAAGCTCACCCCACCCAACCCCTCCAGGTCTTTTCACTGCCAGGCTCCTTTCCCCTTTGTTCAATGGAGTTCCTTGTGTCAGTTTCCAGCCTCCTCATGTCTTTAGTTCTCCATTTGGTGAGCCCTGACCAGGAGCCTGGGGACAGGGGGTTTGGATCCCCAGAAGAGTCTTGGGTATAATCTATTTTTCTAGTAATCCCCTTGCCTTGTCACTTGTCAGCTTTTGTCCTCTACTTTGATGGCAGAGGTCAATTTATGTTCCTGGGGAAAAGGGAAGATGGGTTGTGTTGTGGAAATAAAAAGTTTATTTGCTTCTTTTGTGGAGTCCTTTCCTCTAGATGAACAAAAACAGGATGAGACAAAATTTTTTTCCATAGTAAGCCAGTTCTTCTAATGTGATACCAAAGAACGGAGGACTAATTGTACCTTCCTGTAATAACCTGCCTTTTGCACTGGTCACATTTGGTGAGCCCTCTTTCCCAAGTGTGACCTTATTCCTATATACTGTGAGTCATTCCCTAGCCCCATCTGAATGACCTCCAGTTTTTTTTTTTTTTTTTTTTTTTTTAACTGGCACTCTCTTCAGGATGCACTTGAAGATGTACGTTTGCTGCTTTGTGTAGATCACTGCTTTGAGGCTTTAGGACTATGGTTTCCCCAAGAATCTTCACATTTCCAAAGTCTTTCTGTGTGATTTTATCTAGCTGAAATACCATAAAAGTTGAAGCTGAAGCCAGAGATCTCATTACCATTATGAGTTGATAGAAAAGGAAATGGAAGATCTGTACAGGCTACATCAACACGCTACATGTTACTTACCCACCACTTGAAGAAAAAAGCCAGCTGTGATTGTATTTACGAATACCTGCAGACCACTCTGTACAATTTTTAAATGTCCAACAATGGAAGGAATAAAAAGTAATTACTAAGCAGCAATTCTTCTAGTGAAGAGGTGCTTCATCATAGTTGGGATTCAAAAATCAACAAAAAGACCCAATTTGACAGACTACTCTAACCTGAGGAGTTTCAAAATACTTGTTTTGTAATAGGGCTTTGAGGAATAACAAAATGCCTATTTGTTCAGTTATTTCTTTATAAGCTAGGACTGAGGTTTTACTACTCCTGAAGAACATTTTCTTCAGGCTTAAGGGAGGCCTAGAGGATCTATACCTGAGACACAGAATATTGTGATGTAGCGTAACATTACAAAGTAGCTTTGTTTATCAGAAAAAGACACTTTCTAAAAGTCAGAAAACCAATGTTTTATTCCTAGAGCTCTGCCATATTTCTAGCGGGTGCCAATGGTCACCTGCCACACACGCACCAGGTTGTCTGTGTAGCCGGCAAACAGAGTCTGCAAGGGAGAAAGGACAATGATAGGTCATGTCAGAGCCACAGAACTCTGCATTTCTAGTAATAAAGATGGCCTTTCTTTTAAGATCCCCAATCTCCTAACCACCAGGTTGTAGGTGGTATATATTCCTAGAGAAGGCAATAGCTGGTATTAAGGATTCATACTTCTGTAAAATGGTTATCTAAGGTGTTAACTGAAGGCAGGTAATCACTGCCTGCTAGATCAATTTTCCTTCCAATTCGGGAACATGTACTTTATTCACTGGCACAGCTAATCTGGTCCTCCCAAATCACCCTGGCTAATTTTGTCATTTTACTTTATGTCAAAGACACACCAAGAGCATAAAGGGAGAGAGAAAAGGTAGAAGCCAAATCACTTAAGGAGAGACCTACTTACCTGGCCATCAGCAGACCAGGCCAGAGAGGTACACTGGGGTGGCTCTGCCTTGCTGCTGGTACTGATAACTTCTTGCTTTAGTTCATCTACAATGATCTTGCCTTCCAAGTCCTGGGGAAGGAGCAAAATCAGGATAAGGAGGGACTCTACTACAGGCATGGGGGGGCAGGTAGAGGTTGAGGATATTGCTGAACAGCCTATAAAATGCACAGAATTGCCTCCTTTCCTCCCCCATCAGAACAATCTAGACCAACGTCAACTGTGCTGAATTTGAGTAAACTGTAATTGGCCATCCCTTTTAGTAGATAAGTATCTGCCACCACTGTAAATCCCAATCTTGGGAAGCTGTTAACTTGCTCTTCCTTGATCTCCACTGACAGCCCCATGG